TGCTCCAGGCCTCGCTGGGGCTCTTGCCGGACGAGGCTGAAGTACGTCCCTGATGCCCAGTTCTTGTTACCGGTTCCTGGTTCCTTATTCCAAACTAATCCTTATACACTTAAAGGTTAATAATGAATTACACAGGCTAAAGAGTTGGGATTTCATAAAAAATGTGTATTTACTAATAAAAATGTAACACAGTATGTATCAAATACATAGCCCTGAAAACGACCTGAAATTAGGCTGGGATTATGGGGCAACATCCCTTTCAGGTCACCCGAAACATGTTTACGCCATAGTTTCTCAACTGGTGGTACACGTACCCCTGGGAGTATGCAAGACACAGGCAGGCGGTACGCCGGTACCCCAACACTCTCTCTCTCTTGCCCTCTTTTCCTCTTTCTTGCCCCTTCCTCCTCAAAACTATGGCAAAAAATTTGGTGCGCCATGCATCGCACAGCACTTTAAATTCCCAAGTAATAATTTGGTTCAGCCCTCCTAGCTTGGCCAGCATCACCTCTAGCCCAGGTACATTCTTGAGTTGTGCACCCCTGGTGTAAAAGGTGGCAACCCTACCCACACCAGATCAGACATCTGTTATATCACAGCCTTATATACATAGCCCTTCTTCCAACATATGGCACACATTAGTCTGTAAATATAAACTCCCCTGAAAAATTGAGTGTTGGGGTATTTATTAAAATTTTCAAAATTTAAGGGGTATTTGCTACTTAAAAGGTTGAGAAACACACATCTACACCAGTGGGGGACACTTGTGAATGAGTCTGAGGAGGGGGTTGCCTGATCCAAAGCTTGGTTTCTGCATGCCAGTCTGTCTACTGATGGCCCCCAAGGCCTGCGCACAATATATACAGCATTGAATAAGGAACTGCCTTTGGGTTGGGATTACAGGTGAAAATACTTTTCAGATCACACCAAAAGACATAGGTCTACCATCAGGGGACACTCCTGAAGAAATTTGGGCAGAATCCTGCCTGACCTCAGTTCCTGAGTGCTTTGCTTCAAAGTCACAGGCCCCTGGACCTGAATAAGGAGCTAGGTTTGTGCCAGGTTTATAGGTAGAAATCCTTTTTGGGTGACCCCTGGGCAGAGTCCTGTGTGACCCAAACCTCAGTTTTTGTGCGCCCATCTGCCCACCAATGGCCTCCCAAGCCTGTGTGCTATGTATATAGAACTTAATAAGAAGCTGGGTTTGGGCTGTGATTCCGGGTGGAAAGCCTCTTCGGGTCACCCCAAAGCATAAATCCCAGGCACTGGGGGATTCTCCCCAAGAAATCTGGTCAGTCTTGTCTAACCTGAAGCTCAGCTGCTGCATGACAGGCTGCCCACTCAGACCCCCAGATCTGTATAAGGAGCTATATTCAGGCTGGGATTATGGGTGGAAAACCTTTTCAGGTCACCCCAAACCACATATTTCTGGCATCGGAGGACTCTTCCCAAGAAGGCTGGACAGTATCCTCTGCCTGATCCAAAACTCAGTTTCTGTGCGCCAGGCTGCCTGCTCACAAGACCCCGGGCCTGAATGAGGAGCTAGGTTTGGACTAGGATCACAGGTAGAAATCCTTTTCGGATCACCCTGCAATGCATGTCTTCACCACAGGAGGACTCCCAAAGAAGCCTTGGGAAAGTCTTGCCTGACCTGAAGCTCGATTTCTGCATGTCATATTGATTACTGACAGGCCCCCAGGCTGTGTACTCTCTACAGAACACCGAATAAAGAGCTGGATTTGGACTGGGTTTATAGGTGGAAATCCTCTTCAGGTCACCCCAAAATATATGTTCCCACCACTGGGGGCCTCTCCTGAAGAAGTCCTCTCCTGAAACAGAATCTTGCCTGACCTGATGCTCCGTTTGCGAGTGCCAGCCTGCTACCTGTCACCCACCCCTCAATAACCTGCATTCTAGGTACCTTTATAAACATTTAAACATCCCATATAAACATCTTATTTGGGGCTGGAGTTATGGGGCAAAACTCTTTGGGTCACCCCAAACCACACATCTCTGCCACTGGGGGCCTCTCCCTAAAAAGATTTGGCAGAATCCTGCCCAACCCATAAGTCAGGTTTTGAGTGCCAACCTGACAACTGACAACCCCTCAAGCCTCTAATAAATACATTGCCCTGAATAAAGAGCTGGGTTCTAGATGGAATTATCAGGAAAAATCATTTTTGGGTCACTCCAAAACACATCATTACTCTGGCAGATGCTTGTGAAAAGGCTTGTGAACACTGAGCACAGTGTTTCCTGAGCCTAAACTTACTTTTATGTGCCAGTTTGCCAACTGCTAGCTCCCAGACCTGCATGCTATTTACACTGTTATAAATAAGAAGCTGCTTTTAGGATGGGATTATGGGGCAAAACTCACTTTGGATCACCCCAAAACCCACATCACTACAACCAATGGACTCTCCTGAAGAAGCCTAGGGAGGTCACTGCTTGACCCAAAGCTTGGTTTTTGAGTGTCAGCCTGCAAGTTGATACCCAACCTGTAAGTAATAAACATTACTATTCTGCCAGGCACTGTATGACAGTAAGGATACTTGCATACAAATCATTGGCAATGTGTAGGGGGTGCATGTGAGTGAACGTGCACCCCCTGAGATTGGCCGCTGCCACCCACAGCACCTGTGGGTGGTTGCTGCTTGCCACCCCCACCCACACTACTGACACTGCTGGCATCATCTGTGGGAGGTCACCAAATCGCTGCTGGCTGCTGGTGGCATGACCAGCAGCATCTGCAGGTGGTCACCAATTGCTAGTCAGTGCTCACCACCCCCCCTCGCCCCCAACACTGCTGTGGCTGCCTGCAGAAGCTCCCCACTCCAAGCTGCCATGCCCCTGCCGCCAACACCACCATCTATGGGCGGTTGCCATGCCCCACCAGCCTTGGGAGGCATGCAACATTCATGATACAAAAATGGGGGGTTTACACCAACTTTTCAAATTTACCTCAAACCCCCCACTTGGTAAACTTGGTAAAGTAAATTCAAAGTGACCAAACCTGCCCACTTGCAGAAAAATGTTAAATTAAAACAGGTTAATTACAAGGGAAAAGGGAAGCAAGGGTACACCCTAAGCAAAACCTTAACTATTAACTTTTAACTGTACCTCAAAATTGATCACAGTCATAGTCAGTGGCAAACCAACATGGGGAACTACTATCTAGGCCAGTCACATGGGAAAGGAGTCTCACTCAGTGCTGCCACCCAGGGGCTGTACCACCTGCACCAGTTTAGTAGTAAGTAGGGAGGCCTACCCTGAGGCCCTGTTGCTTAAGCAGCCCTTCAAACCTTCATACCCTCTGCATACTAATGAGGGTATGCAGATAAGGAATATACAAAATTTTCACTATGGACATAATCTTAGTCAAACATGCAAAACATAATCAGGGATACACATATTTGGATGAGGATCAGGAAGCCGCACACACGAAGGGTGGTGTTGGGAATGCGGC